CAGTAATAGTTAGCAAGGAGAAAAGCAAGCAGAATAAGCACCTTACTTACCGTGTTTGCAAATTTGGCTGACCCCACTTGTAGTAGCTGGGCTTGCAACTGAGCGATGAAACCGGTACTAATCCTGTCGTGCCCACCAATATCTGTAGTTAAAGTAAGTTTTGAATTCCTTCTTCTGCTTAAGCTGTTTTGTTTTGATAGTTCATGTTGTGAATGTGGGCAGCTTGATCGACTGTATCAATCGCTAGAGCTTGTTGCTAATACTGAGAAAGGGGCATATGTCTTCCACGAGGTCCCGTAGCCATGTTGATTTGGAAATGGTGTCGAATACTGAACTTATTGTGCTTTTTTGAAGGGTGACGACGGCGACAGCTTCTACCTTGTCTACACCGGTCGAGGTAGGGGAAGGAGCGTCACACTAGAGATTCTCTCCTAAACGAATTTGATGTGCAGTGGAAGTGGTGAAGAAGGAGGTTGGCAACCCAGCTCGCGTCAATGGAATCGTTCATTTAACATTCTTGGGGCCGGGAGATACCTTTGGAGAGAGGGCTTTACTTTCGAACACTGATGTACGCGCAGGTAAGCACTCGCCGTAAGCTGACTAAATGCGTGTATGGCTCTAAATCATTATTGGCTTAGCGTCTGTGATTATATCAACAACACCAACGGATCTGGTTTTTATCAATCGCGTCGTGTTCAGCGAGCTACTCAAGGAATCACACGACTCTAGTAACACTAATACGCTCGAGATAACCAAACGGTTCCGCAGCAACAAAGACATCGTGCGCAATATTTTCATGAGAAGCTCTGCTCAGCGATCCGAGAAGGACCTGAAGTTTGCTGTCGAGTACTTAAAGAGTGTCAAATTCTTTTCACGATTCTCTTTTGAAGTCCGAAAGCAGCTTTGTAAGGTGTTGCGCCTCATTAGTGCTGTCACAAACACAGTACTTTTCGCTGAAGGACAAGTGGGACGCCATTTCTACATCATTTTCTCAGGTTGTGTGGACGTATCGGTACGCACGAAGAATCGTTTCGATGAAACAAAAGAGAGTGTCGTCTCAAGGCTTGGTGAAGGTGAATACTTTGGCGAGTTAGCGCTATCCCAGGTTGACGGTCTTCGTCGTGCCACTGTGGTTTGCACCGAATTCTGCGAACTGCTTATTCTAGGCCGTGATGAGTACGAGCCGTTAATTAAGAAGTACCAAAACGAATATCACGCCCGGTACACCCAGATGCTGCGAAAGAATCCCTACTTCATTGGGCCCGAGTGGGATGACAATACCATTGAAGGCATGTGCTCCGTTATGACAGAAAAGTATATCCCGTTTCAAGGCGAAATCTGCAAGCAAGTAAGATTATTAGTTTGTAGGCTTTATTCTTCACAATCTGACATTCATCGCTACAGGGATCACGAGCTAGCGAGCTCTTTATTGTAACGAGAGGCGAGTGTCAAATCATCCATGAAGGAAAAGACCCTATCACAAATGCGCGTCAAATGTACGAGCTGGGAAGATATGGACCCAACTCCGTTTTGGGCTGTGCGGAGTAAGAATATTTAATACTTTCGTTCGATGGGTGGACAATTATATGATTCTAATATTCGTCGTTGTTCGTAGAGCATCAGCTGGAAAATTTAACGACATTTTCGTCCGTGAATACTCTATCTTAGCGGAGTCACCGATAAAAGTCCTTGTTCTTTCACGGTTCGATATATTTCACTTAATGTCGGCAGAGGCACGTGCTAGCTTACAGCGCTCCTCCAATGGATACATTCGTGAATCTATCCAGAGTCGTGCACTCAAATCGTTGGCCTGGGAGAAGTACAAGAAAACTTTCATCGGAAGTGTCATGACTGAAAAGCAACACTATTCATTTGGGTCTTCTGGAGGAGGATGCTATGATGGTGGTGCAGTCTCCAGTACCGTGCTAGGAAAATCCCAATCTGTGCCATTATTATCGCTCAATGGTGCTCGCACACTGGTCCATCCTGGATCTCTCATGCTCGAATGTCGAAGAGAGGTAGCAAAAACCAGTACATCTAGAGCAATGAGATTAACCAGCGGAAGCCCTATCAGTGACCAGCAAAGCAACCGCAGCGGTGTTAAAAGTGCGTCTGCGACGGAAGAACTACAAAATGGTGATGGATCAAGGTCTCCTGCTAGCAACTCTTCGTTTCCTTTTGAGAGCGGCGATATCTTGAATTCAAAAGTCGCTTGGACCGCTTCTGGGTCATCAATGTTTCGGCAAAGGTCATCGGTAGCATTAACTCTTACATTAAAACTGCAACAAGGAGGAAATCGAGCGAAGCTACCGCCTGTAGTACACGACGACTCAACGCCCACCCCACAACTGTTGCGACTCACTCGCTGCGATAGTCGTAAATCATTTGCTGGTCGATTGAATCGGACTGGCAGCAGCAACATGGAGAAAAGTGCTACCGCAGTGCTTCCTGCGGTATCTCCGATTAAAGAAGCAGTAAACGAGGCATCGTCAAGCACAAAATATTACCGGAGTAATTTACGTCGCTGCGGGCGTGTTCGTGCAGAGAAGATTGACAACACGGTCAGTGGTGCCAAACTTGGTCCGGCAGTAGCAGCTACCTGTGCTACCGCAAATGTAGCCGCAATATGGAACCCGTACATGGTG